AAAGATTTTCACAACGTGGAGGGAAAAGTCCTGCAAGATGCAAGAACGCCGCCGCCCATCAAACCGATCCTTGGTCCCGTGCCTGTGAAGCGTCACACTTACCTCCACTCCAAGCCGCCACTGCTAGGTTGCCGGCGACCATGGCTTTTGTGCTTTCCCCTGTTGAGCGCTCTCCGGAGACCACCCTCCATACCTTCGTTCAGAGAATCGTTTGGCAGATTTTGAATGCAGATTTGAAATCAGCATCAAAAAATAGGTCTAGCAGTATAGGTCCCATTTCAAATGGCCACTTCGACTTGGGATCCTTCCCTTGTAAGTGCTTTCGAATGACGTGTCAACTTAAGCCTATCAACGAGAAGTGCTTGCTCATTTATTATTTGACGAACTGATAATAGGCCTTCGAACTACGCCATTAGTTATTTCCGGATGAATGATATTCTTATCGAGTAGTTTTACAGGTAACACACATTTGTCCGCTAACGCTGCGATTAGCTTGTAATACCCGACTAGATCGCCGAGGTTTGCATATAGTTAAAGGCGCCGTCCACAATAGTCTTACCAATTATTATAGAAGGTACTATTCCACTATTACACACCCCAAGACTCGAAATTTGAAATTTCTATGAAACTTTGCCCATAGGGGTAATCCGATGCCGTGATAACGAAAATGACCTCCACTTTCGGCGCTGGCGCCAAGGGTGTTTTCACCAAATTTGCTGAAAACTTGCGTTTAGAGGTTATTTGAGGTCCTGATAACGAATAGAACACTATTTCTGTGTCCTCAAACCACGGATAAAACTTTTACTGAGCCACGCTATATGGCTCGTGGTGAAGAGAAGGGCTTCTGAGACTGAGCTTTGGAAAAGGAACGATTCTCAAGGAATGCTCTGCCTTTCCATCCTCCCCCCCCCCTGAAGGCTTAATATCGGAAATGTGGCACTAAAGAGGGCCGTTGGGTTAGTGTACGTTAGATGCCAGACCGTTCAGCAGGGATATAGTGGCGCAACTTGGTCCCAGAAATTGGAGACAACCTCCCGTCGACCTCCGAACTCCTTCTTCCATAGGAACTCGCACAAGTAGTTCTCGTAGCGTGAGTTATTAATTCCGAAGCGCCACTTGCACATCGCTTTGTATTTCTGCCGCAGCGACTCTACGTTTTGAGTATGGGCACCAGTTTGTGGGTCTACAAAATTCAACTGGTGATTGACTCGGAGGTGCCGGTAAGCATTGGGCAGCGCGACGATCTGACTGTATGCCCTCCAGCAGTCACTAATGATTGTCGTGCCAGGTCTTATATACTTTATGATAAGACAAAGCAGAGTCGGAGCGTCCCTCCTCCGCACCAGCCTCAGAAATGGTCGTTCGCTCCCTCTCTCGATACCGCCACAAAGCCACTGGTGCCTGCGTACCCATCGACCACGATTGTACTTCCTTCTCGCCACCAGCGTTTCTCCAATCTACACCGTACATCTGAACCCACCAATAACTGGAGGATTCCTTCTGTAGTGCTCGGCGCAGACGTCGCGAAGGTACTGCTCCCACTGGACAACACTACAGTGACCGATGTTAGGTTCGTAAAACTTGTCCTTCACGGTACCCATGTCGCGCAGCCAGAACTAGCTGAGCGCAAACACGGCGAACTCTGCGAGGTTCGACTTTTTGAAGAAGGAGCCTTTTCGAGCTGGAACATACACCTTCGTTTCGTTCGATGGCCCAGTTCGGCGTGATCGACGGTGGCACACCCATCCGTTGTGGTGCTCATCGTTTCTGTGACTCATAGATCCTTGACAAAGAGGGCACAATGGCAACGCCAGCAGCCCAATGGATCGCAGCCACTCCCTTAGATTTAGATGATCCATTTGCATCTTCTCGTACACGTCCATCAACGAGAAATCGAGGAGTTCTTGCTGGCGAATGCGCCTTCTCAGAGCGTTGAGAGCCATCGCAACACACGTTCACATGTTGTGAAATGAAATAGTGATGTTCGTCTCATCAGGGGTTTACCTTTAGCCATGAGAAAGTGCCTACATCATCCCCTTTCCCACAACCTGGCTGTCTTCAACTATGAGAAAGCGCCTCAGGTCACATCGTCTCCCCCTCAACCTGTACGCCTTGTCGTCGCGCCGAATAACCTCAGCGCGTAAAATGGATGTTATATCCGTTATCAGGACCTCAAATAACCTCTAAACGCAAGTTCTCAGCAAATTTGGTGAAAACTCCCTTGGCGCTAAATTGGTGCCAATTGGCGCCAAATGGCGCCAGCGCCAAAAATGAAGGTCATATTCGTTATCAGGGCATCGGATTACCCCTATAGGTGAGGTTTCATCGAAAATTAAAATTTTGAGTTATTGGGGGTGTAATAGTAGAGTAGTATCCGAGAAATATCTAGAGAATTATAAGGCCTCAAAGAGGTAGCGAAATAAGGGGTTGGACGAGAGTGTGAGAACAAGGTTTGCATGAAAGGGGTATTTGGAGGAGCTGTTCAGATGTGAGCTCAATTGCCATTGGCTGACGAAAGCAAGCTGTCTGCTGTGGATCCTGGTGTGGGTCCCGACGTGAATGGAGCATCTACGGTCCTTACAATGCTATAAGAACTCGCCGCCTCTGGTGTGCACTTCGGCTAAATCCGTTTTGAGGCCCTTATTATGTGTTGGCTAAGCCTTTTTTGATAGCACAGCGCCCCTTGTGCTACTTTTGTGGGTCACAGGTTCATCTCAGGGATGATCTCAGAATCCATTTCTATAGCGAACTGTGCCTTCAACCTAAGCTTGTCGTTCATTGACGCGGTAAAGAGGAACTCGGCTACACAGGAAGTTTGCAATAGCTAATTTAGTCCAAGAGCTGATTTTTTAAGGTGCGAAATTGAATCAAGTTACAGATGAACACTAATAGGATATCAGAACAAAGGGAACGATCAGAAAAACTTCCTTAATTGTGAAAATCTCGAAGAATTTCAGTGATACACGCTCTCCTCTTTGTTGATTGGAATTTCTCATTACAACCAAACGTGATTTAGTGATACAGCGCTGGATGGATTTGCTTCCGAATTCAGCTGTTCGAACATGCTCTGTGTGTGGGTCAGAAGGAGCTCACGTACACTATAGAGGAATGGTGTGCGGGTAGGTTTTCTTTCTCTTCTAGTGGGACATCTCATTCGATGGAGTATGTATAGTATTTATTATAAATGTTTGTTATTTCATGCGTCATCAACTTCATTACACTGGGGCGATTGAAATTTTGTAGTTCACAACAAACAAAACATCGGCTTGCCTTAGTTGGATACCCTGCTCCCCATTGATCTTTTATGAAAATCACATATTTAGGTTGCGCTCATGTGTTACATCATCTGTGTCACCTGTATCACCTGTCGTCCCGTTAATCACTGCAGACGTTTGCTCGAGGAAATCAAGCTGAGGTTGTCGAGACCTGCTCGATTCCTTCGAGCAGGCATCACGAACGTCTCCATTCGTTCCTGTCGTGAGCCAGAGTAGTTCGTCTTTGCCTGAAGTGGGCCAGAGTGGATCGTCTTTGCTTAGAACGTGAGGCCCAGCATTCGTTCCGTTTAGAGCTTTCTTGAAGAAGTCTGGCCGTCGCTCAGGCGAGTATCCTGGCGTTTCTTGACGTCATGAGGCATCCATTCAGAAGCCATTACAACGGTCATCACGACATCAAATGAGGTGTTCAGCACACCTGATATTCGATTTCTCGGCATAAGCAACGGCACTTCCGATCTTCTTTCTTGAACAAATCTCGGAATTCCTTGCACACTTCAGTGCATAAAGAAATTCCGGGCATTGGACTTTCCGAAGCGCGTTGAGTTACGTTGACGGTATGCTCGTTCTGTTTTCGTACAATGCAAGTCTCCGAGGCGTACGTCAAGACAAGAAGAACAGCAGTAATGAGAAGGCGACGCGGAGCCATTTGTTCTTTTTTCACTACCCTTTGTTATTCTTGACTGCCGCCCACGCGGCGCGTCTCATTCTACTCAGCTCCGGAGCTATGTCGTTCATTATCTTGACGTTTGAGATACATGTTCCTAGAACACCAACAAACATTCGTTCCGTTCAACGTAAAGGGAGCGTGGGTTCCGATCCGCTTTTCATGAGCATCGTCTTCGTTAAAGACACTCTTAAGCAGATCTTTCCCCAAGTGGTGTCAAATTTGGATAGCATTCGTTCGGTATCATGAGCACGATGTCGTCTGCAAAGCAGAGGTGATGTAAGTAGAAGCCGTCGACCTTCACCCCACAGTGGTGTTCTCGAGAGCAACAATGAAAATTTCCGGCAATGATATCGCCCTGTGTAGCCCTTCAGCTCACGTTTCTGATGACTTCTTTATAGAATGGCGAGATTGTGATCGTGAAGTTATCGTAGAGCTCATAAAGCACATTGACTTGTCGAGGGGGACACTTTGCTTATCGAAGTCTTCTACCGTTTCTGTTTCGATATTATCGAAGGGCTTTCCCAAAAGTTGAACATCACAGCATTCTGCGCCCTCGCGAAACTTCAATGAGTCGTGTGACAGAGTGGATGTGATCGATTGTACTGAACCCTCTTCGAAACCGTGCTTGCTCTCATGGCTGCCATTCATCTACATCTAATGCTCAACCAATTCTGTTGAAGATGACGGGTGTGAAAAGTTTGCACAGACAGCAAGCAGATTTTGCAGTAGTTGCCATTATCTCGGGATAATTTTCTTATGCAGTCGCACAGACTGCTAGTTTTTTGAGACATGCGCTCTGCCGCTCGACATGCGGCAATCAAACAGAGGGAGAGCAGAGCCAGTTTTGGACGACGGCTCTTGGGAGACTCTTAAGATGTTCTGGCCTGACCCTATCGGGACCGGCCGCGTACAAATCTTCATCGATCGATGGCATGCAGAATTTCGAAAGAGAAAACACATAGGCCAAAAACAATAAAGTAGGTTCTGCTCAGGCACACATACGACCTTATCTCTAATTCATTATTTCCTCTTCCTAGCATTGATCGTGCGCCGTTGTACGGCCTGCTAGTTCGCCAGCCGTCTCCAGTTTCCTCGACCTAGGGCGTCCCCGAGTTGGGTTCGGCGAAGTCCCTTTTACCCACGCACCACTAACTCTTATTCGGAGTCGAAAACCGAAAACTCGGAAATCGATTTTCCTGAGCCCAAAATAACAGCGCGTCCAACTGCAGATCCGCCTAAGCATCCCTTTCTCAGCGAAATGAAGTTGTCTCTCATAACCTCTAGGTGCGAACCAGCAACCGCTGCCGTACAGCAACATGAGTCCTTTCGATATCAGTGACCTTTTTCCACTTGACCCATCTAGCGTTTATTCGAATTTTCACAGCTTGGTCCACAATATCATAATGGTCTATGTCACTTCTCAACTGCCGAAGGACGTGCACCCTTTCAATGATTTCTCCAATGCCGTCTACGATTGACACCGTGTACTCAGCTGAGCTGAAAAATTAAGCCTTTTCATGTTCATCCATGCCCATTTCCCGTCATTCCTACACCTTATCTTATAGTTTTTTCTGCTCTCCTTGAGCAGAGCGATGCCATACAGTGGAGGCGGGATATTCGCGAATTAAAGGCACAGTTCACGAAAAAATGGTATCGGAGATTTGCACATGGTTTGAATTCGACGCCCCCTCCGATACCACTTGTGCAGGAATGAGGTCGGAAAACGGTCTGGATAGGGCGCAATAAGGGCAGTAACAGTGGGGGGACGGGAGGCTACCGTCCCTCGCTAGGTTTACTACGAGTTCTAATAGTCCTTCACCACTTTCGCATTGGAGCAACATTAGTGAAAAATCGATAGGCTGGTTGGCAAATTGCCCACGGACGGTCGCTGGTCGAACGCCTCGTACTGGCACTACTGCTAGGCTGTTAGTTTCGACTATATTCTATTCCATTCTGTTCTAATTAATTTTTCTCAGCCCTGTCAAAAGGTCGAAATTGATACTGCACAATAAATCAGATTAATGGCGGTAGGAGAATTAGTTTTAATGAATAAGCCTAAATCAGCTGTTTTGGTGTGTTGTGTGCTATTGTAGACACTGGTCGCGTTCGTCTGACTCGCCCGAGAAATCCCTCATCGCCGTTTTTTCGCCATGTAGCTCGTCCGACCCCCTTTCCCTTGTTTTTTGTAGCTCTCTATTTTTTTAGATTAATCTTTTTTCGCGTTTTCTCTTTTACCATTGCACTATTGTAGTCCGTATTTAACATTTTCTTTTCAAATTTCGCCAAAAACCGGATACCCCAAAATTATTGTGAACTGTGCCTTCAAATGTTAGAGCGGGACAACCATAACTACTGTCCTCGTGCACCCAGAGCGTTCAAATCGGTAAGAGTACAGGAGGCAGGACGGAAACACCTATGGTAGGTGGTGGGAAGACATGTGGCATGTGAGATGTGGCGGGGTCGAACTGATAACAACCGATAAGAACTGATAAGTTGTCAAAGAAAGCAAAGCCCTTCTACGAAATAGAATCTAGACGGAGAAACCATTTGGTGGTAAAGAAATGTAGTTTCAGTTCTTTAGTATGTGTCAATCGATAAGACGGGATGGTAAAGTAGGGTGACGGAAAGTTGGGTGTGGTGCCTTAGGAACGAAATGGTCGCGTCGCGGTGAGAGGGGCGTCGCGCGCGAAGGAGTGTAGAAGAATGTGGCAGTAGGTAAGAAATACAATAACAAAAGCACTACTAGTAGAATTATGCATAAAATAATGATCGCGGCTGTATGAAGAACGCTAGAGCTGTAATAACGGCAAATGAGTGGTACGCGACAGCCGCGAGCGGCAAATCGATTTCCCAAAATCGTTCCTAACGCCCGTCTCCACGAAAAGTTGTTGGTAAGTGCAGTGATAAATACCGGTTTAGGCTTATTTTTGTTTGGGAAAACGGAGTTCAAATCATCTGTGCACTGCGTATCCGATCAACTAATTGCATAATTAATATGACACGCGCTTTAGCGTGCATAATTTAACTGGTCAACGTATATAGGAAACTGGAAGACAACTACTTATGTGAATAAAAGTCCGCCTGACCATACGCCGTAACTCAATCAAAATTAATTAGCAGCGCACATCAGAAGAGTTTTCTTGATAAGATGCACGAGATTAGCGTAGGGTTAGAAAACTTCAGTTAGAAACACGCTTGAGGCATTCCGAGCTCCTCAAAGATATCCTATATAGAAGAGACCATTTATGACCAAAGATTTTTTTGCAATAATATGATATCGCGAGCAGTTACTCGGTAGGGTTGCGTAGAGGAGTACTTCATTATCCTACTATATGTATATGTATTATTCGCTGAGTGTGTCTGTTGGTTTGTCGGTGTGTTTATGTGTGTGTTGGAGTGTGTTATTACACCCGAAATTCATAACTCCTGTTCCCGTGGAAAGAGAGCACTGAAATTAAAATTCGGTAGGAGTACACGCGGCAGGTAGCAGGCCCAGACTACTCCCAAAAGGATGGGGTTTGCACGAGAATTGTCAAATTGAGCCCAGAGCGTTCAAACTTGATAGGAGTACAGGCGGCAGGAACTCTTACGGTGATTAGCGGACTAGATTCCGTCTACAGAGGGGAGGGGTTTGCGCGAAATAAATGGTAGCAGCAATTCATAACTACAGATAAGATTTGATAAGGGCCTAAGAGAGCAAAAGTCACCTCTCGATCAAAATCCTCCCATCATCGGTATTTACTATGTAGCTTTGACTGTTAAGCATGTTTCATGCGATAAGACGGCATGGCAGAGTAGGGTAACAAAAGTGAGTAGTAATTGCAGTGATAGGGACCCATGCGTGGCACTACGATAAGCAGATGAGAACTTAGTTCATTTCTTGCTATTAGATTACGACCACTTACCGAGCAATGTTCGTGATTTGATGAAGGATCCTCTTTGTTCAATATCATTTGCGACAAAACTTGACCGACCGTGAGTAATCTGGAATTCTCAATTGATGATATCTTCGTAAGAAAAATGTCCATCGATAAAGACAGGGTGGGTATTATCATCACTCGATACATTTGTGAGTATTGCTCAAGGCTTCGTTTGCCTAACATTCAAGTGTTTAGCAGGTAATTACTTCGAGAACGAGGTCGAGATTCCCAGTCGAAAGCGTAAACTCCGGCTTACACTGAATACCATTTGCACTACCCTATTAGTCGTGTGTCAAGGCTCGTGTACAGGAAAATATTGTGTTTGAAGAGCGAGTAGATAGTTGGCCGATTGCTACAGCTTTGTCGAAGAATAAGGGAAGCCCGGCGTTAGCCGGGCGAACCGACTGGTGGCATATGAGCCCTCGAGAAGGCGAGGGCCAGCGGGCCTCGGTAACCGGAAGGGATAAGAGCAAGGTGCCCAGATTGCACAAGTCCGGGTTCGGGTCCCGTCCGAGGCCTAATTTTTGTCCACAACTCGCCAACCTTGGGTTACTTTGTTTGAATCTTCCACTACTTGGTCTGCAAAATAAAAAATAATAGGGAAAGACGTATTGCTTGTTGTTTACTGACCATTATTCTACTTCAGGAGCTGCAGAGTTTTTTTCATTCGCACCGTTCGAGGAAACGCATATTTTCTGTGCGAAAAGAATGGTAACTGTATTATAAGCAAAGGTAAGATATTGCTTTTGTCCTTATATTTCAAGGTATCTGAGGTCCTTCTATCTCAACAGATGCTTCTCCTTCACCTGCTGCCGCATCTGAACTTCTGTGGGAATATAAAACTTAGAGTAGTTTTAATAGCGAGATATTCCGCAGTGAGCTTTACTGATAGGATCAGTTTTGCCCATCCCCCACTAATTTCATTTTTTGGGAGTCGTAAAGGATGTGATTGCCTAGTTTGTTTGCGGTTCGTGAAAAAACAATGGCTTCAACTGGTTGTGGCTCAATCTGTTGTAGAAAATTACAGAAACGAGGAACTCGTGCAGAGCTTGCCGTTACATGAAATGTCTACGGGCCAATATGACCGAGCAAGGCAAGTCGCTCAAACTGAAGACTGGTTATATACAGAACAGAAGGAAAAGGAAGTTGAAAATAAACGCAGGAACGCAAGTATCCCATAATAGCGCAAGTATTTCTTTTTTGGACAAAATTTTGTTCGCAGATGTTGGCCGGATCAGAAGGAGTTCGATAGTCAGAAAATACAACCACTCAATGGTACCATATATGCGTCACGGAAGTTGCAATTTACAAAGGGTAAACGTTCGCAAGTGCTTGGTATATGAGCTACATCCTGTTTTCAGAAGGAGCAGCTCTATTCAACCAGTATTGGTATCCACTTCGTCAACGATCTTAAAAGCGCTTCGAAAGCCATAGACTTTGCGAAGATGCTTGTGTTCATAGAAAGGTACTCAATGAAAGAGTAAACGACAAATACTATTCTGAGATACTAGTACTGCCAGTAGGTAATGCTGATGTTATCGAATAGAGAAAAGTGTCGTAGCTGCCAGTGGCAGTATAGCGAGTTGACATGGGAAACTACTTGCAAAAGGTGGCTTTTCTATTCGGTGGCTTACACCGATGTAGGTGCGTGCTTGCGCTTGTACATATGTGTTGGTGTGCATGGGTATGTGTGCGTTTATTTGGTATGTATCTCCATTCACAACCCAAATTTAGTGTGTCCCATTTAGTATTTTTACTCAAGCTGCCCCGTTCCTCTCTCCCCACCCCCTTCCCCCTCCCTCCCCCACAATAATTTTCGCTCACGCTCCAAGCCCCGTGACTTTTCCCATTCGCATGAAAAATTGTAATAAAAATAAATGTAAAATGTAAATGTAAAATAATCGGCTAACTCGCCACTCTTGTGAGATAAGGATACTTTTTCGAACAAGAAATTAGAAGCAGAACCTACAGGTGTAGTGCAAATTATATTCAATGTGTTCCAATGCTTCTGTCTGTGACCATCGGTCTCGATCTGTCGGTTCTCAGCTTACACATAACTATCCATTGAAAATAAAATCTCTCTGCATCTGGAGCCTTGAAAGCACTCACGAATGTGATCGAGTGGTAAAAACACCATTATCAGGTGTCGTTATGGGGAACCCCCCCCCCCGGATATATCATCAGTTGAGATTACGAAGTTATTCGCGGTTGGGTTAATTTTGTTGCAAATGATATCGAAGCAAAAGCAAAGAGAAACCGTGATCTATTACTTAGTCACAAACCTTGCTGTGCCGCATTCGTAATCAAACAATAAAAAATCAACCAAATTCTGATCTCCTTATAATAAAGAACCTTCAGTCGGCTTAATCAGTCCCTGTCACTGCATTTACCACTAACTTTTTGTCACAGTACTCCACCATCCCGTCTTATCGAATACCACATCGAAAAGTCAACTACATCTACATCTTCAATACCGAACTGATTTTCCCTAGGGGTTTGACTTAGTAGATGGCTCTTGCTTCCTGGGGTCCCTTATCAACTCGTAAAAGTTGTCACCAGTTCTTGTCACAGAGTACTTACGACACCGTCACATCCCAGATCACCTATTGAAATGTTAAGGCTTCACCGTTAACACGAAGGGCCTCACAGATCCAGTGACTCTCGCCTACCATGGCTCGTTACCAATTCGTAACAGTTGTTATCAATTTCTATAAAAGAACATTTACGTTTCCTTCTCAACCCACATCCCCCATGTCGTGACTTTTAGCAAATCTGCTCCACGGCCAAAGTGCGAGGAGATCGCGGTGAGCTATAGTAGTGTCCAAATCGTGCAGAAGCCTCGAGAAGGCAAAAGTTACAAGCCTTTTGACGCCAGCCACGTGTCACTTCATCATGGTACGTCTTCGCGGTTGACTGCACGGTTACATAATCTCCGTTACGATCCAGCCACGCGAACAGCACCGCCGCTTAACGCCTTCCGCACAATCCTCTAAGCTCACATACTGGGAGCCAGAATGGGTAATGCTATATTTAATTACATCGCTAGAGTTCACTATAATGCAATTGCTTCTGTTTAGTAGTTCTATTGGTTCTAACTCTTGTCCTCAATTATTCTCACCTAGTAGTCATTTAGCATTCTTCTCCTTATTCGTATTGCGTACCCTTGCTTACAGGTAATTATGCGATTTACACGCCTGTGCATTATGGTTCTTAGGTTTTTATTATATTACGAGTCACTACATGAAGCATATTTGCTATCAGTTATTTCCTCCCATATGATAGTCTAGCGCATTTGTCGTTCACATCACTTCTCCGCTTCCTGTTTCGCGTCCTCCGGAATCCGTCGCCGTCGCTCCAGCTCGGACGTTCGCCATCTTCAACGACCGTCATCAACTCGGTTAGAGGGTTGAAAGGCCTCAGTTTATTCCCGCGTCAGCACTGAGGTATCACATATTCGAGCATTCGCAGGCGCACTCAACCTACCCTCAGGTGCGGTGGGCACCAGGAATCCTGCAGCCACGATAATGGGCTCCACCTGCGATGCAACCTACTTGACCGGAGACACGCAGGGTCACGACACTCTACAGGAGTGCTAACGAAGGCGCATCAGTTGATTCACAGAAATGTATAAGGTGTATATGATACAGATTTGGTAGGAATACGACCACCAGATCATGAAATAAAATTTGAAGATATGACCAAACACTGGCGGAGGCGAGTCAACTTGTTCTACTAACCAGGGAGGGGTAGTCTACTTATCTTGGAACTTTGAATTCAGACCCAGATAGATCGATAGGGTTTTGAATGCTGTTTACGAAAATGGAAATTAAAACTGCAAAATGATTCTCCTTAAAAGTTATGGGGCCCGAATGTTGCTCGACAGTAGTATCAATTGTCTAAAGAAATGTCAGAAAACGTTTAGAGAGCCTTTGATAAAATGAAAAA